TTAGACATCTGGTTCATGTGGGAAACACAAGTGTCAAGGATAAAATATCCATAGAATTCTACGGTACGTTGACTAAATCAAACTACCCTTCAGCTGTGTGAAAAATAGAGCACTTTTTTTTCCCTTCTTTTTTTATTCAGTATAATTCACACATACATATAGAGCACCTGGGTTTTGAAAATCACTTGGCTTAAATCTAGTAAAAATCCCAAATAATGTGGCAGTTCTGTCTGCTAGGCGGTATTCTGTGTTTCTTTGAACTTTAACACTACTTTTATGACTTTAGTAGTAATCATGTGTGTAGAATAATTAACAATTAGCTTAAATTTTTTACCTGCCCCAATTAATGACTCATCTAAACAAAACTAGGTGTATCATTTTCTAATAACAAGCCCTGCTATATAAATGTATGTTTGTGAATTACTATACATAGTGTAAGTAAATCTTTGTAATATTTGTTCCGTTCTAATTGTTGATGGCTGACTAGATTATTAATTGATATGATTTATATAGCCCCCTCCTATAAAATGAACAAGGTGCTGGATCTCAACAAATGCAGCATATGAGAAATGAATTTAAATTATTCCAGTGTCAAAGCCAGAAACTCTTTGACAGCCAGCATCCACTCCATCATCATCTTCCTTTACTGTGCAGAACCTCTTTTGATCAACTGTCGGACACAAATAAACTCTTAGTCAGATCCGACATTGAGTCTGACTGGTGATTATTTGTCCATGCAAGGCAGCACTTAACACACCCTAAAATTTAAAGCCGGGCTTATACTGTACTGCGTCCTTACGACTGTTGTATGACTGCTGGCAGGTCTTTCTCAGCCTTCTGTGATCGTTAGATGGAGTGACGCTGCCGGCGTGCTGATTGTCATTGAAAATTATCTGTTGCTTGTGCCTTGTTAACTTGCATTCTCCAAGGAATTGTGTCTGGTATGGTAGATGCAGTGTGTGCTCCTAGAAATAGTGCAATAAACAATACCGTAAATGCTTGAATAAGTGTCGCACCAAACCTGATTTTTTTAGCTAAGCACTGCAGCACTTAATCAAGAGTACAGTCATATATAATACCCTGTGCGTACTGGAACACTTTGAGAAACAGAGTTTTTAAATACAATCTATAAAGTGTTAAAATAAATTACACAATAAAGACACAGGTATTTCTTTGTAGACGTTTATTTATGATGACGTAGGACCTATGATAGGCCTACTAAACTACGGGGATACGTGAGATAGGTAGTAACAAAAGAACAGGTACGCAATGCGCAGCGCCAATATTTTTTACAAGCGCCGCTCTCTAATAAGGAACACACTGAAGCCTCCAAAAATGTTATAAGCACCACGGCGCTTATTCAGGCGTGTACTGTACCTGTAGTAACTTTCAGGACTTGATGATATTTACCATTGGTCCATGACTATAAATTTTCACCAACAGGAGATGGCAGACATGGAACAGTACGCTTTGACAAAGAAGCATTCGCAGCAAAGGTAGAATTAAGTTGATTATTTCATTCGCATTTACAGTGGTAATTATTCAGCAGGCCCGTATAACCAAGGGAAATCTAAGGTTTTGAAGGAAACGCCTTTTTTTAGAATTTCCCATACCAGTTACATGTTAAACTTATAATGGGGTATGATGATGTACTATCTGAGTAGCACACTCTGTTGGACATAATTCAACAGAGGGCGCTATATAATTACAGTAATCATCAGGAAGTTATTAATAGAGTACTGTACTGTATATTATTTTACTATAGCTGTATCCAGACTATCAAATTGTCTTTGACATAAAAAACTGCTGTGTGCCCATATATAGCCATGATGTGCCTATACAGTATATGGTCATGATGTGATGTCATCATGACCATATTTAGGCATGTTACATGTTTTTTTGGTTTTTTTTCAATGTTTTCTGGGTTTTTTTTTTCAATTAAACTTTGATAGTCTGAACAGGGTTTTATGCTGTTTGTTTTGTTTTAAACTTCAAACCTAATGACCTCAATCTTATAGATGTACAGTATTTAAAATGGAACATAGGAAATCAATTAATTAAGGCGTGTACAGGAGCTTTGCCTGCTGGTCCTTCTGTGCCCCTCCAGAGTCTCTACAGTAGGCAGCTGCAAGCCTTTGTAAATTGGATCAAAGACTTCAAAACACATCATCATCGTCATCATCATTGTAATCATTGTAATCATTCATTCTTTACCATTATCATAATAATAAAGGACTACTAAATGTCATTGCAATAGAAACAAAGTTACTGATTGTTTTTGTTTGTGTTTTTCAGTTGGTGGACATACCTACAATATTAGAATCCTATAAAACAGTTGATAAGAAAACATTCTTCAAAACTGCAGATATCTGTCAGGTAAGCTGGTGTTTCATACATGTGGGGAGTCGAATGGCCGAGCAGGTTAGCAAGGGCGCCGCAAGCTATAGTCATAATATCGGCACTGGTTTGAACGACGTTCTCGCCTATTGTTCTGGTGGTAGAACAAGTCTTCTCGGATAAAGACTATAAACCGTAGGCCCAGTATATACAATGGCTCGTGTGCACTATAAAGAACCCAGTACATCTTTCGAGACGAGCAGGGGGATACCCCGGTGTACTGGAACAGACAGCCCCTGTGGTGGAGGATGAGAGTTGCTGGTACCGGGTTACCGGGTAGCACAGACACGAAGGGACCCTTAGGGCCGAAGAAAGTCATTGATCGAGTTCCTAGTCCACATTTCAAGCGCCCTGAGCATCTTACATTAGGTGGATATGTGCGCTATATAAAACTACACTATTATTATTATTATTATTATTGTTATTATTATTGTTATTATTATTATTATACACAGTATTTCCATTTATTTGCAATTGTACTAAGTGTGGTGGCAATGAACATTTTACCTAATTTCATACATCGTTGCATAATAGAAGACCAAGAGTCCTTTGTGGTTTGCTCAAATCTTCCCAAATGGGAGGAATTGTTGGATGGGTTCCTGTTGGCACAGCTATTCACAGCCATTTTTTCATGTGGCATGAGTAAATATGGTCATGAAATATCACATCATGACCATATATAGGCACATCATGACTATTTATAGGCATGTAACGTCTTCTTGTGTCTTTGGATTGTAGATGCTTGTTTGTTCAAATGAAGGAGAAGACAGTGGAAGTGGTCGAGAGGAAAAACCTTCTCCGCACAAGAACACCGGCAAAGTCGACAAAAAGTTTCTATGGAACCACGGATGTACGTTTGAAAACGAAACAAATGATTAATAAACATTACCATATTAAAATATATAACATTTTGGTTCAAAGTATTCTATAAAGTTTTCTTTATATCAAATAACAATAAGAATGTATTGATATTTCAGGTTGAGCGCTTTATTCGTCTTCAGGAAAAGGCTTAATCGATCTTTAAAATTTTTTTTTTTTAGTAACACCACCACTAAAGAATGTCAGAAAACGGAGGTTTAGGAAAACAGCCAAGAAAAAGGTACAATCTTATACTGTAACTCTGACTATTATTTTTTGCCGTTCCAATAAAACTGCAGAAAAGAATTTTTTATATTACATATTATTTTTATATTTTTTATATAAGGACTATAAACTGTATGCCCAGTGTACACAAATGCTCATGCGCTTTAAAGAACCCAGTAAATCTTTCAAAATGATTAGAAGGTTGCCCCGGTGTACTGGTTCACTTTGCCCGTCGTGGACAGATGAAAGTGCGCCAGTTTACTGGCTGCGGTGGACATGAAGTGACCCTCTGGAGAGAAAGTTATTGAAAAGTGCAACATCTAGTCCCGAGCGGATAGAGATCTCGTTTATCTGCGCTATATAAATCTATTATTATTTATTATTATATTCACTTTCACTTTGTGGCGTTCTTGCATATATTTACTGCCTGCGACATGTAACAAGGTATTAGTTTGTGTGAAGACGATGGTATCTCAATAGAAAATGGGTATCAGTGTTTTTACTTTCTTTTCATGGTAAACTGAACCTGGTATTACAGTATTTAGTGGTGTATAGGAGTCTTGAAATCATGGACCTGAAGGGTTGGTGGCACGAAAGTAGAGTAGGAGCCCCAATGGTTAATTGAGGGGCTCTAGGCTGCAAAATGAGGTGTTTTTAAACTGCTTGAGTGTGATTTTTTGCTTTGGACAGTTTTAGTGGAGGCGGACGACATGGGATTTCGCAAGCTATTTTGTGGCGTGTGTTCCCTAGCACACCCCTAGATATGTCACTGGTATTAGTTCAGTCAACTGGATACAAGAATAAAATTGTTAAATTGATGCCTTCAATAAATTTCAATATTCTTTTACTTTCTTGTAGTACATTGAATCACCAGATATTGAGAAAGAAGTTAAAAGACTATTGAGAATGGACAGTACCGCTATCAGAGTCCGTATCCTTTCATCTGTTTTACACTATTTTGAGTAATCTTATCTATTGTTTGAATTTCTCAGCAGCAGTTATTGAACACTTGAGGCTGGCTATCCTAAAAACCAGCGTCACTAAATGAGTAATTAACATAAGAATATGGCAGTATTGTATACTTTAGACACAAAAGCCGTAATACTTTTATTCGTAACTTTGGTAATACAGTAGTAAGTCGATTCCAGTTAACGACCCATCGTGTTAAAGTGGTTTTCTATTTTGCAGTCACTGGTGCTGGTTTTGTCATGTCTTAACTGACATATTAACAACAAAAAATAATAATTAAAAAAATTTCTCAGATACTATCATCATAAAATTTTTCTTTTGTTCAGTTCTATGTACAGTATATATATATTTATTTTTTTTCATAGTGTTATTTTTTGGCTAGCTAACTAGGTCCCCATACATGGTTACAATCCTTATCATTTTTATAAGGATGGGAAGTGTTGCCTGATAAAGATGGCAAAGAAGACACAAAAAGTGAATTACAAATAGGTATGTTGGTTTTTAATTACATATTATTAGGGACCTTACACAATATGGAGTTTGCATATTATTGTTAATTATGTTTGTTATCAGTTGTGGATTCAAGGGAGGGGTTATAGCCAGCCCATCCACTCCCCCTATATTTTGTAAGGTTATAAAAAAAAAGATGGAGAAAAAAGAAAATTATATTCAAATATAAAATCAGAGAATGCCATTTATGGCCATCTAGAGGTAGCATAATAGTACATTTTCTTCCCTCAGCCCCAACCATGGTGGGCCTGAAGTTGTATTGACCCTCTATTTTCGAAAGTCTTCTCCTGGGCCCACTGTATTTCAAATTCCTGGACCCACTTGTGATATAACATCTTCTATTTTACCATCATCTTGCATTTTACCATCATCTTGCATTTTAACATCATTTTGCATTTTTAATGGCAAAAATTGTCATATAAAGCTTGATAGTGTGACCAGGACTTAACAAGATACTTTCTTTTCAGATGGCAACGACTGGAAACAGATCTTTGAAGAGGTTAGTAGCTCAGAGAATGAGGAAGAGGAAGAAGACGTCAACATCATGGAGGTCGGGGATTCCCAGCAAGGCATGGAGGAGTTCAAAGTTCAAAATCGAAATAAGTAATAAAATTGCAGCCCCACTGTATGATTATTATTTAATTTTTGTGTTTTACAGATGAATTTGTTAAAAGGTATGCAGAGTTAGAACAGGAAATGACTGAACTAAACCAGAAGAAGAGAATGCAGGAAGAGGCTATTGCTAATGTGGATAATGTTATGCTGAAGGTATGTAGCATGTCAACTCATATGAGTCATAACTTAAAATAGTAATTTTTATCCACATTATATATCATGGTTGGGGCTGAGTTACAAAATTTCGTGGTTATGTAGAAAGCTGGATGTAGATAGACGGAAATGACACTCTCAGACTTAAATTTGGATTTAATTATCCTTTTTGCCAATTTTTTTTTTTCTTTAATAAAAAGAAAATTAGGTGGACTGTGCTGGCTGGGCAATTGCCTCCCTCCCCTTTGTCTGGTAGCATAACGTGATGAGTAGGAGGAGGCGAGTAAAACCTACTCATACAAACGATTGCTTAAAGTAAATACTTTTTTATTTTCAGCAACGATTCCAATCAAAATTGGATGAAGTCTTGGTGGAGATGAAGAAACGAGAAGAAGAGGTAAACTTTTTGTGAATTGCTATAAGTGTACATTAATTTTTTAAATTTTAATTGCTAATTCATCATCTAGCCATTTCGTTCCACTGCAGGTGGAGAGCCTCTTCATCGACTTGCCATTCTTCTCTGTTCTGTGCTCCTCTCCTCCATGTCTTCTCCGATTGCTAATTAAATATTGGAAAAAAATGTTCTGTAGTGAACTTGTATACTGTTTTGACTTGTGGTGATCTGAGAATTTGATTAGAATGTTTAGCCATCATTTAGGAAAATAAGAATGTCTACACCTAAGGGAGGAGGACTATTGCACCTCTTCCCAACCAGTTCAGGCTGTGTATATTTATACACTACCTTTTTTACCTTCATTACAGCATGCTTCCACAAAATTACAACTATTGTTTCATAGACACAGTCTTAGTCATTGGGATTTCAATCAAAATTTTGTCAGTTTGAGACCAATACTGGTCTTATTTAATGTGTCCGTGGTCAAAGCCACTTTTTCTGCTCTTACCTGACTTCACCCCGGAGTATAAATGGGTACTTGGTGGAGGTGAATGATCTAGAAGAAAATGGTAGAGTTGTTGATTGCTTGCATATTTACTAATGAATCCCAAATAGCGGAGGAGGGTGTACATTGTGCGTGAATTGCTTCTGTATCCAATGAGAAAAGAGTACTTCTAGTAGTACCTTAATAAAATGTGCACTGTAGTGTATAGATCTTATTTAAATTTAATTATGTACCGACTACATAAATTCCAGGAATTTGATTGGTTAAAATCTGGGCAATAGTTCCAGTTGTGCCTTCTAATGCCTACAATCTATGTAGTGGTATATAAAACAAATATTTACTTGGTTTTAATCGGGTCGTAGTTCAAAATATAGCCCTTGTTGATGTCCTATGTCCCTCGAATTTGTCTCGGGATATAGCACAGCCTCCAGATCACCTCTGGCTCTATTTTGAATTTTGACCAGATTAAAACCCAGTAAATATTTGTATAATAAATCTTTTTTTTTTCCAGATGGAAACTTTGAAAGTGCTTATTGGTCCAAGCTGAAATTGATGAGCTGGACTGTTGGCTAAATAATCTGATGAGGTGTTACAGGGCAGAGAAAAACCAATTTGAAGATCATTCATTTAAGCATAGAGCTGCTCTAATACCAAGTGTTGACATGGTCACATGCACAATGCATTTTTTTCATTCATCATTTCATTCATCATTTGTGTTAAGTGGATGCATATATATACTCAAATATAAACCTGTTAATTCCACTGTAAATGAAAAACTACATAATTACCATCAAAATGTGTTACTGCATGATCATGAAGACTTAATGATCCCAACCAGTTTAGAAAAAATGTCATTTTAATGGAGTAGAACATTAATGCTGTAGAATGATGTTGCTTTCCATTAGATTTGTTTACAATCATTTAGGGACTCTTATTTACGGGAAAAATGAACGCCATGACCATTTATTCAATGGAGGCATCTCCGAGGCCTCAATTTGAACATGGTCTTCAACTTTCAACTTTATTCAAAAACACTTGGTTGAGTGGCAAACACCATCTAGTGGTGCATCCATCCAAGGTACAAATAATACCTCACAAAATACAATATAAATATACAATTATTCAAAAAATAAATAAATAGTGAATGTTTATGAGTACAAGTGGAAGAAAATCCCCATGAGGGAAAGATGGACTGCCCCACTCGGGAGGCAGTTCCTAGCCAAATGGAGCAGTCCATTGTCTTTACTCGCCCAGTGCACAAACACAAGACATTCATTGTTAACTTGTAACACACCTAAAATAGGCCCTTGTCACTTAATACTGTATAAGATGAAAGACAACTTTAAATACATAAAGATATAGCAGAAAAAATATAACCACTACATCCAGCATTTTACCTATTTACAGACGTACAGAAATAGACCAAAAATCTATGTAAATTTATCATTAGGCCTAGACCCATAAATACACAGGTCTAAACATTGTCTAAAATTACTTTTAGACAATGGTTTCATTGTCCCAAAACAGCTCAGACTTGTCAGATTAATGATAAATTATAAAATTAAAACAAAGAAAAAAGACCTGTAAATTTGGATCTTGTCTGGTTTGCTTGAAATTTCACAGCTGTTTTTATCCGTACCATTAATTTAAGCAACCCATATTTTGCACTCAAGACAAAGTATTAGGAAAAGTTGTATTTACCACAGGTATTCGAAGACTTGGTTACTCATTTTACTAAACTTGAGAAGTATGTGATGTGATCTTACTTTAAGAATATATGTTGTTTACCCATCAGCATATATTTTAAAAAATAAGGTAAAATAAAGAATAAAATAAAATAAAAAAAGAACCAAAATATAAAGTAGAATAAATATAAAAAAGATAATAATAATCAATTATCAAGAGCACTTAAGATTACAAAATATTAAATGACAAAAAAAAAAAATTAGGTGTGTTATAAAATGACTTAAATAACTAACACCACAACTTAATAACTACTAACATAAATACTAATAATAAAAATATTTAATAACTGAACAGTTTAATTTGTTTGGAAAGGTAATTTTTTGAATAGCATCAGAGGTCTAATTGTCCACGGTTGAATTAAATAGTCCTTACAATTGCAATAGAAAATTTGTCCACAATATTATATTTTCTATACACAGGACTTAAACAGAAACTGTACAGTAAATTTAATTCTGTTCAACTTAGTTTTTGAATAAAAGTCATCAATCATCCCATCTCCCGATTCAATGCAAAAACAAAAACTCCTTAATCGCTATCTGTAAGTTATACTCTAAACATCGACCCATTCTCCGCCACAACTTCTGATATTAAGCAAGCCATAATTTGATTTAATTTTAAATACAATTTAATTGGTCCATTAGTTAAAAAAAATTTTTTTATTCAATAATTGTATTTATATTGTTTTGTATTTATTTTATATATAACCATTGTAAATAATTATTGTTGTTGCGGGTAATTGCCCTTGTTGATGGCATTCGTAGCTAATAAAATTGAATTGAATATATACAAATACATATTATCAAGCATCAGTTTGTGTTTTGGTTTAATCTATGATCAATTTTTATAATTATTCCAATACACATTTAAACCATGAAGACTGTTCCTAATATTTGACTATACCATCTTTAATAACATTTAGTGTAGTACAGTCAAATATGGAGTGTTCTGGTGATGGCAGTATGATGACGTCATAATGTCCGATTAGCCGGCCATAATGATACGATACGATACTCCTTTATTATTAATGATAATACTTTATTTGAAAAACAACGCCTTTCCATCGGCGGCACACGTCACGAGTATGATTTGACGGCGCGTTCATAAAGAAAATATTAAAAACAAATAATGTATACAAAAACACAGCAATGTACCGTAAGACGCGAAATTAAAAGGTTCGAAGATTCGAATGGCCGGGAATTGCACTCTACCGATACTACTGTATGTTCGTAATGATAAAAATAATATATCAACAATACAATACAACAGTTATTTTTCTTAATACCGTATGCACCCCTGAATCCACCCCAGCATAGAAAATAAAAGTTAAAAACATTGTCTTTGATGTATTTACTTTACCTGCTCAAAGGCACAAGTCACATCTATCTCAGCTCCACCAGGGGGCTGAGGTGCGAATGTTTTAGGAAATAGTACCTCTAGATGGCCGGAAATGACTCTTGTGTAGTAAAATCCGTCATAATCACACAATACCATTGTAGTCCAAATAAAGTGCTAACAAATCTTTTATCAGTCATTTTCGGCAAACCATAAACATCCAGTTAATATGTGTGACGTACACCAGAGAAAATAACCTAATTGTCTTTTTTTGTATTTACTTTACTTTACCTACTTCTTGTGCTGGAAATCTTAATATAAACACGCTCATTCGAATCGTGTATTTCATGTGATTCAGACGTTAGTGATACCAGTATCTTGCTATAATATGAGATGTACAGTACTGTTTTCATGCTGTACAGCGCTTTTTCGTTAAAACCTGGGTCATTAATGCAGTTCATTTCAACAACTTTCATAGGCATCATCTTTACTTGCGGTCAAAACGTGGTCCCCCCCCCCCAAAAAAAAATATGTGGGGGAGCGTGTTCCCCCCTAGGATCTGTGACCATGCGTGTGGGTGTGTAATAGAACACTTAGGTGGTAATTCTTATTATTCAAGGGTGTCGGAAGCGGTCCTGTTTTGGCTGGACCAATAACTTACAACTCAGTATCGTTTGGTAAGCCAAATTCTACTTTCTCTGACGCAATCAAACATAACCTGCACATTCAAATTTGGAGGGGGCCGGCTTAGACTTCCCTCGAACCTGCCTCTTTCCAGTGGTGAAACTAGGTTCCGATGGACCCTTTTTCGCGAGAGCGCAGTCATCACACGGGTTAAGAATGCTATAGTATCTGGAAAAATAATGACCAAATCACAATTTGTTTTTTAAAATAATATGAAACACAGTGTATTGCAAAAATTATATAAAAATAAATTGTTCAAAATTTCTTATCAATTCCATAAGGCCCAAAAAAAAAAAAAAAAAACTTGTTTAGCGTCACCGCCCGACGCTGATTTTCTAGCCGCCTCTTGTAACTGCCCATTTTTACACCTTATTCCCCCAGTTTTTAAATATTAAAAAATCTGTATCTCATTCACCGTTCCCCAGTTTTTCGTCAAACAACTTTTTTTTGTCTTAGAAAAATCAGTTCTACTACATATCAATTTTTTTTTTCCCTCCGGAGCCTGACTTAAAAGCTATAAAAACCCAATATTTTGCTATAAAATAATGGCAGCATGCTAATTAAATAAAACATGTGTTATGTATACATAGGATACAGTATGCATATTCCTCCATGAATAATGAAAATGCAAGAAACAGGAACAAAATTATATTACCTTATACAATGCAATATGAATAACAATGAATGTGCGTCTATTATACTTATACGAGTTGACGGATATTGTGAAATACATAGCCTATAAAAAGATGTAGCCTAAATAAATTTACATGTGTTATGAATACACACGGACACATGGTACAATATGCTATGCATTATTTAGTAAACCTCTAAATGTCTTTTGAATTAAGCTAGGTGAATACGTTAGATTATCAAATAACAGACTGCTAGTATATGTTTTAGTATTATTATTTAGTAAAATGTTGGTTTATTAATGGCAGGAGGGACATGACATGTACAGTATTCCCATCATATGGACAGATCTACCAGGTGATAAGTACTCAATAGAGTAATAAGAATCAGGGGCATCCACTTTGGGTGGAGGGTCAATATTAGAATAAGGTACTGTACGTTTATACAGGGGTTCTACTCGGCCCTACAACAGTCCCGATCAGGGTGGTATGGACAAACGCCAGGGAAAATCAACAATTTTGATTAGATACTTATTAACTGATAGGCCTACTTATTAATCAATTCAACTGATCGATTTACACTTTTTTGATTAAAAAAATTACCATGACATGGCCCAGGCCGCCCAATATACATGCGTACAACACGTAGGTGAGCTATGGCCCTGGTTCGAGACGAATACGTGTCAATTCTTTTAGAGTATTTTTGCAACATACTAACAGGCCGTATGGTAATACATCGGCTAGTGTAAAACATCATTTTTAAATATATCATTTCTACTGTTAAGCAATGTTTAACTACTATTACTTGTACGGACGTTAATATTATACAATCCAATGGTGAAAAATATAAATGAAAAGCATGATTGGTTAAATGATATATTTAGTACAAGTATGAATGATTGATATAATAGAATATATAGTGCGTGTTTTGAGCTACAGACAAAGACAAAACTAATGAAAAGAAGTCATGTTAATGCAGTGATGATTATGTATATTTTGGCGCACCTGTTCATGGTAAATAAGTTATTACAGTATTGTCTCTGTTGCTGCATCAAGTTTGTTCATTATAAAATCTCCATTGCTCGAGGTATGTACTGTACATATAAGTAAAACGAGCCATGGGGCTCCTATAGGCTGTAGCTTATCTCCAGTTTGAAGTAGCGAAGCAGATGAGAATGTGATGCTCCCCCTGGGTGGGACGGTGGCCCACCTCAGGTTACTCTCCTCCCAGCAATTTGATGGAACCATTTGATACAGCTGGGTAGACATAGAAGTGCCTTTACGCAAAGACAAGCAAAATGCAAACCGAAGGATTGAAACCCTAAACCACGCGGTTGGCGGTGGAATCAAACCATTTCCACTGTGCCAAACCGTCTCCACATAGGCCTACATATTATTATAATCACAGTAAAAACACCCAAATAAATTAGCTCTGAACTTGATGTTATAAACAGTTTTCTGTATGTGCTTGGAAATATGCATTTTATTTTGATCCATAACAAAATACTGGACTGCATGTTCAAACATCAGCTTTTATCGGATAATTTAAATCAAAGTTCAATATCTTAACACAGTAAGACGGAACAATAATTCACCAACCAATATCGTTTGTATGTCATTTTAGCGCAACACAGTTTTATTTTTTAAACAAACACACGTGCAGTAATGCCTAACTCAGGACACACAGTCAGGCATTCGCACACGTAAAGGATATTTTAAAAGTAATACTGGTATATGGAAATGAATACCAAGCAAGTGAAAAAAAAAGAATAAAAATAATAACAATTACAATTACAAATTATAATTACAATTCACGGAAATTTCAGAAACTTAAATTTTAAAAGATAATGTACAGCACAGTGCGCGGTTTACCCCTTCTCATTGATTAAAAGTAGTCATCTGAGTTTTGGCAGCCATTTCAAAAGTCGAGGTACCCTCATCCCCGCTTAATTCTGTATTTATATCCTAGTAATACCAAATCAGCAGTGAAACCTTGGTCCCCAAAAGGCTCGGGGCCTTATTTTTCACTATGCTGTAATATAATGTGGTATGTGTTGCTCGTGATTTCTTCGGGCATTTTCAATGGCGGGGGGGGGGGGGGGGCGGGGAGGGGGTGTTTTTTTAGTGGATGGGGAAATCGTACCCCTAGATACGTTACTGAGGGATACCGTTGTCCAGAGATAAACATCCTTTCGTTGAATTGCCTTGATTTAAAAAACACTGTGTACTCCAGAGGAACAAATTTGTAGCCACTAGATTACTGTAACCACATACCGCTGCTGTAACATAGAATATGGATACCAGTGGCGTATCCTGAGGCTTGAATGGGGTGGGTGTAGGGATGGCAATTGAAATGGAAGGGTGGCTGTGGAGGTCTTGAATATGGAGTGGGGCTCCATAATTATGTGTAGGG